ACAATGGGCGGCGCCGCTGATTGCGGGGGCGGTAGCAATGGCAGCTTCCATCGGCGTACTGGTGGCGGGGGGTTGAGAAGGTTGGAGGCACACCGCAGCAGCACTTTCGCTGCAGAAACCAAGGCAAGCGGCGGCGGCGGCGGCGGCGGCAGGCTTGGCACTAGACTCAACAGACCTAGAAGTGGCGGGCGTGGGAGGCACGGGGGCAAGGGCGGCGGCGGCGGCGGGAGGGGTTCCAACGCTCCCAACGGGGGAAGGAAAGAGAGAGCCGTCAAGTCCACCCCAGAGGGAGCGAGCTGGAGAGACTCGGATCTCGACGGCAAGAGCCGATCGTTCCTGTTCGTCAAGGAGATCAAGGCAATCCCCAAGTGGAACGGCGAGAGGGTGATGAACGTGCTGAAGGAGGCGCAGCGGCTCAGCGAGGCTGCCGCCGCCGCCGCTCCCGGCGACGGCGGGGGTGCCGCTGACGCGAGGAGAGGCCTGGAGATGACCTCGTTCATGTACAACGCGTGCATCAGCCACATGTCCTCGTGCGGCCGGTGGCAGCAGGCGCTCGAGATTCTGGAGTTAATGAGGGCGGCGGATTTCCCCCCGGACGAGTTTTGCGTGACCGCCGCGATAACGGCGTGCGGGAGGGCGGGGCAGTGGCAGAAGTCCCTCGATGTAAGTACCTACGTGCGTTTGTTTTTATTTTTCTGCTGCTGCTGCTGCTGCTGCTGCTGCTGCTGCTGCTGCTGCTGCTGCTTCTCTTTTTTTTCTTTTCTTACAAAGTACACAACAAATCCATCTCTCTCTCCCACAGATGACAGTAGTCCGTGGTAGATTATTAGCAAATGGGTTTATTGTGGTGTACGTTTCTTCTCTGTGTACGTGCGGGCTTTCGTTTGTTATCGGCCGTGGAAGGCAGAGGGGGCACAGGGGGCGCGACAGACGTGTGCATGCCACCACCACGCTCACCCGCCTAGTCCTAGTCCTAGTCCTAGTCCTTGTGCATCCCGCTGATTTGCCGGCTTATATTTATGCGCGCATGTATGTGTGGCGTGCGCAGGTGGCGGCAGTGGTGACTTGCATCCGCTGTGATAACTGCTCGTTTTGGTTGTGTTCGCGCACGCCGCGGGGAGGGGGGGGGGGGGGGGTAGAGAATCGTTGTCGCGTTTCTTGAGACTGACCCATTTGCAATCGTGAGCGGGTTTGCGCTACCGTTGGATGCAACCTTAATATTCGAAACACTCCACGCGGCGCGCGCGCGTGTGTGTGGCCTGTTTTTGACATGTTTGTTTTTCAGCTGCTTGACGGCTTGCGCGCGGACGGCGGGAGGACCACGCTGCGGCTGATGAACGCGGTTGTCGACGCGTGCCGCAAGGGCAGGCAGTGGGAGAAGGCCCTCGAGAAGCTGTCGGAGATGAAGGGGTTCGGGGTTGTCCCCGACGACTTCACGTACACCGCCGCCATCGCTGCTTGCCGACAGGGGCGCCAATGGGACAAGGTTTGGGTTGTGCGGGTGTTAAACCTCGAGTCTGTTTTCAACGGCTAGTTTTTTTTTTTTTTATTGTGCCATGACATCTCCTTCTACGTAGTTCATTTTATGTTGGCTTTCTTTTTATTATTCGCATCGTACCGGCAGACCAACGAAAAATATGTCGGTCTCAGTGCGGCTGAAAACAGACGATGCGTCCAGAGGCCTGTGTGTGTGTCCCTGTAGGTGTGTTCGTGTGTCTGTGCACATACTGTTAAGTGCAAGTATTTGTTAATTGTGTTTCCGTTCGGCTATCTGTCGTCGACGTCGATGGCGCTAAGACTTGGCCGACCAAACGAGAAGGACATCGTTCCTATAGGACGCGTGCCCGCCTCCACCATGCGTGCGTCTATGCACATAAGCGTTTGTTTTGGTTGTTTTGTGTGTATGTATCTTCACTATGTCATCGACGGCGCTAAAACTCGGGGCGACCAAACGAAAACGACGTCACTCCTATTGAGGGCGCGTGCCCGCTTCCGCCGTTGCATTTGAGTTTGCTTCATGCTGCAAGCTTTGCAAGCCGCATTTCTTCTCTGAGGCTACTCTCGACACTCGCCAACCCTGTCCAATCGCCTTGACCCAATGGTGCACTCGAGACTCTCGCCAACCCTATCCAATAGTGTTTAATATCCAACGATTGATTCGCTTGGTTCAACGGTGCGCACGTGTTAACATACCCTGTTGCTCCTGGCGCGCGCCCAACGCTGTTCGGTTTGCACCGTGCTGCTGTAGGCCCTGGAGCTGTTCCGCGAGATGCCCGAGGCGGGCGTGATAGTCACCTCCATCCACTACAACGTGGCCATCGCGATCTGCGGGGAGGCGAAGCAGCCGGAGAGGGCGTTCGAGATGTTCCGAGAGATGCAGGGGGCTGGCGACGGCACCAGGTGGGCAATCTGCTTTTGCTGTGATCGTTGTTGCTGTGTTGTTGTTGTTTGTTGTTGTTGGCTTGGTGAGGTGGTGGTCGGCATGCTTTTCGTTGTTGTTGTCATTGTTGTTGGCTTGCGGCGGCGGCGGCGGCGGCGGCGGCGGTGATGGTGGCGGTGGTTGTCGGCGGTCTTGTCGTCGTCATGGATGCTGTAGTTGATGGTGGTCGTGGTGTGAGGGTCTTACTGCTTGCTGTTGTGGTGATGCCTCTTATCGTTGTTGTGGTGGTGCCTCTTATCGTTGTTGTGGTGGTGCCGTTCTTGTGTTGGGAGAGAAACGAACGTTTCGGACCAGTGCTGCCTGCGGGGGGGGGGGGCAAGCCACTGCTGTCGCTGTGAAACCCTTTCAAGCCTAAAACATTTTTTTGGAAAATCAAAAAACAGGGAAATCCCCCCCCTTACCCTTTGATCGGCTGGGTTTCCCAACCCGGGTACCAAAATAATTCTTGCTTCCCTCCCTTTCTGGAAACGGGGCCCTTTATTTAGG